TTGGGAGCGGAGCTGGGACGTCCACGCAGATACTCCAGTACGGGAGGTGGGCATCTGTCCTGCCAAACTCCCATCTTTCTGTTATCCTTTCATGAACATTTTCATGGTCCCGAGAGACAATTAACACTTCTTTCCTTACAGCTCCTTTGTTTTCTTTGCACTCATCTCTCTCAATTATGAATTATCACGGGTGTCCCCTCCTGAACTGAGAATTCTATCAGACTCCTTGTTTACCACCATACATAACCAGGATCTAATGAGATGTCTGAAACAGAGAATGCGGTGTATTGTAAATCCTTGTATTTATTTGGATGAATTACATAAAAAAGATATATAGAGCTAAAATGTTTAACGATGTCATAAAAATGATTGATTCTCATTTGCTGTGGGGCAAGTGGGGAAAGCTTTTCAGAGCAGGTGGCAGTAGAAATGAGCCTTGATAAATGAATAATGATAATAACAATTTGTGATACTCAGGAAGGTGGAAAAGGTGGATAGATTAAATTGAGGTAGTCTGTTTAAAAGGGCGTTCCAGCGCCCTTCTCGAGCAAATAAAAAAAAAAAAAATCTCACAATACTGAGTTTACCAATATATTTGTCACTTGACTTCAGGTCTTTGCAAGTTAGTGTTTATAAAGTTAAATGCAGGAAATCAGAGAGCTGTCAGGAGTGTGGTAGATAAACAGTGACATCTCTCCTGACCCAGCCTAAATAAGAACACGCAGTTGGGAGAAAGGACATGTGGACTGTTGGCTCGAATGGTGTGCAATGAACCAGAGAGGATGATCCGGTGCGACAGCCTGGAATGTGCCAGAGTGGATTAGGGACAGAGGTCAAAGGTGTCCACAGAGTGCCTCACCAGCTGACAGTTCCAGAGAGAAGGTCTCTAGCACACAGCCCCCTGAGATGCATGAAAGGCAATGGGCTCCACAGGCTGGCCTGTGACTGCTGCAGCAGATGGGGAGGCCCTGGCAGCCAGGTCCAAATATGCTGAGTGAGTTTGCTGGAGGGCATAAGCACATGCCTATCACGGGTTTTCTTTCTCTCCTGAAAGAAGGGAGCTATCAGGTCCTCTACATCAGTTAGACCTGTTTATACTTTCAACTTGTGACGTCAGCTCCCCCACAAGAAAAAAAGCATTTCTTTCAGTTCCGTATTTAATGGTCATTTGTAGTTTCAAACACTATTAATCTCACCTTCCGCAGCCCAAGCTGCTTATAGGGGGAAAAAAAACAAACAAAACAAAACAAAGCAAAACAGAAAAACCAAACAAAACAAAAACAAAGAAGCAATGTTGGTGGAAGAGACAGGACTTGTGGCAAATTCTGGAAGCCGCAAATGATGAGTCCATAGATGTAGACGCTATCACTGCCAATATTTGCATTTGACTGCTCGACAAGGAGTTCACTTCATCAGCTTCGGGCCTGCACTGAAGTGGAAACGCTTCCTTCCTGCTCTCCAGCACCCGCAAGCCCTGCGATTTCTTCCACCTCACTGAAGTACTCCAGATCTTAGGAAAATATTCCTTCCGTATTAATATTTAGTGACTTCCTTTATAGGGAAGGACAAGGGTGGTTTCCAAAGTGTAAAAAAACATAGAGCAAAAGCAAATCACTGCCAAAAACCAGGGTTACAGAGGAGTATGCTCTTCACACTGGATGCTGTAACACAAAAGCTGACACTGTGGTGCTTTAACCTCACACCGATTCCAAACTACCAGCGCACACACAAAATGTCAAGGTCTTCCTTTGTTTGACAGTGTATAGTCGCAGCGCTTTTGGAAGATTTTCATGTTTAGGGTATGTATTTTCTTTGAATGTATATAAATAAATATGTGTGCATATATATATATAGATATATTTGTCTTGCCCTTTTTTTTTTTTTTTTTTTTTTTTTGGACAGGCAGAGTGGACAGTGAGAGAGACAGACAGAGAGAAAGGTCTTCCTTTGCCGTTGGTTCACCCTCCAATGGCCGCCATAGCCGGTGCGCTGCAGCTGGTGCACCGCGCTGATCCGAGCCAGGAGCCAGGTGCTTCTCCTGGTCTCCCATGGGGTGCAGGGCTCAAGGACCTGGGCCATCCTCCACTGCACTCCCGGGCCACAGCAGAGAGCTGGCCTGGAAGAGGGGCAACCGGGACAGAATCCGGAGCCCCGACTGGGACTAGAACCCGGTGTGCCGGCGCCGCAAGGCGGAGGATTATCCCAGTGAGCCGTGGCGCTGGCCTGTCTTGCTCTTTTTCTAAAAAGGAAGAGGCAAAAGGAATGGTTCAGTCTGGCAATTAACTATTGAATGCCTATTAATTGCTAAGCATCTTGTGTTATCTAATTTGCTTGACTTCAGTTTCTGTTACTCTAACACAGATGGGTTATATAACAAGATTCATGTAATAAAATTAATTTACAAATAGAACAGAACAATTTTGCAAAGGTCATGAATAAATATGTATGTATTTAATTACCTGCATATTTATAAATTTACAAAGTTTTATAGAGTAGTTTTTTCCACCTTTGCTGTGTGGTGTAGCATGTAGAGCTGCTGCCAGTGATGCCAGCATTGCATATGGGTATGATTCCTGTCCTGGCTGCTCCACTTTCAATCCAGTTCCCTGCTAATGGCCTGGGAAAAGCAGTGAAGGATGGCCCAGTTAGTTGGCTCTCTGCCATCCATGTGCAAGACCTGGATGAAGCTCCTGGCTCCAGGCTTCTTCAGCCTGGCCCAGTCCTGGCTGTCATGGCCACATTAAGAGTGAGCCAGCAGATGGAAGATCTCTTTCTCTGTCTTGTACTGTCTCAGTAACTCTGCCTTTAAAATAACTAAGTAAATCTTTAAAAAATGAATGCTTCAACCCTTGATGCAAGGAATTGGACTTAATGATCATCTGATTTAAGGGTTAGAATGGATTAATAGAGGCCGGTGCCACAGCTCACTAGGCTAATCCTCCACCTGTGGCACCGGTACCCCAGGTTCTAGTCCCGGTTGGGGTGCCGGATTCTGTCCCGGTCGCTCCTCTTCCAGTCCAGCTCTCTGTGATGGCCCGGGAAGGCAGTGGAGGATGGCCCAAGTGCTTGGACCCTGCACCCGCATGGGAGACCAGGAAGAAGCACCTGGCTCCTGGCTTTGGATCCGCGCAGTGCGCTAGTGGCCATAGCAGCCATTTGGGGGGTGAACCAACGGAAAGAAGACCTTTCTCTTTGTCTCTTTCTCTCATTGTCTAACTCTGCCTGTCAGAAAAAAAAGAGAATGGATTAATAGAAATATATGAAATGCATATCATGAGAAAATTATGCACTGATTTTAAACCTTTTGCACTAAAGTAACTTCTTTTAACTTCATTTCCATGATCTTTTCAAAGTGCTCTCATATAGAGTAAGTGGGAATCATACAACTAAGCCCAAGATGACTTTATGAACTAATGATCTAAAATTAAAAATCCCAAGCTTTGAATGCATGAATGTTTGGCTTCTTTTTGAAATGCAGAAAAAATATAAAGAAAAAAAGTGATGAAAACAGTATAATTGGTGAATATGAGAAGAGAGATGGGAACAAAGGGCTTTAACTAACCTGTATGAACACTTACACTTCACTAATGTACCGTGTACAGTCATCATAGTACATTTAACAATCCTTACAGTGTTACCCTTTTAATATATTTCTTATATATAAGGAAACTGCAACTAATGGAAACTAAGGGCATTTGACTTAATGACCACACAGTCTTTGTAGGTAACTGGCATTAGCATCCACACATTTTGGTCCCACAAACATCTTTTGATTACTGAACCCCACCATGTTTCTAGTCATTGGAAAAGTATGTTTGATAGTAGGGGGAATGAGATTTAGCCATACTCTCAAGAATTTTAATATTTAGCTGAGTTGAAAACTTATGTTACATGGCTCTATTATTGGGCTTCTATAGAGAAAATTCATTGATAAATCAGATAAGATAGTAATTACTTTCAGGAAAAATATATATGAATTGGTAATGACTTTGAGAAGATAAAACATGGAAAGAAGGCATTTCAAAGAATAGAAAACATATCCTTCCATCTTGCCTGTAGAATAAATACTTCTATGAATTTTCTAGCCCGGTGGAGATGGCTACAGAGTTCTTTTTCTCAGTTTGCTTGGCATCTCTTCTTTCTCATTCTGCCAAATGCTAAGATAGTAATTAAGCCCACAGAGCCCTTCAGTGTGTTACATATGCACCCCTTCCAATAGAGGATAGAGAATGTTGGATACCAGGAAGCCAGCAGTTCATAACTCACGGAAACATATCTCTGTTGTATTGCCTTGTGCTGGGCACAGACAAGAGTCTGCATTCTCTTTTACATTTGCTGGCACAATATAAGCCCTGGTGTATAATGGATTATCTTACATATATCAAATTATGAAATGCACAGTTCCTTTTAAATTTCTCTAAAGGGCACCCTCTTATCATTTTTTATGCATTCTAGGGCTATACTAGATATAAACTTATCATTTGAAATTCAAATGGTTATAGTTACAAAGCTGCTGACTCGTAAAAAACAGGAAATCTAGCATATATCAGGATCTGAACGCAGTGCATGATTTGCTGAACTTTCATGATAATTTCAATAAATTATTGAATTAGCACTGTAATTTTACAAATATGCTTTAAAAATGCTCAAATGGTTACAGCAATGAAGAACATGGTGTTTTTTTTTTTTTTTGTCTTTTGTCCTTTTGGAAAATAAATTTTAGCTGACAAGCAAGTTTGAGATACACAGCCACTCATCAAAGAAGAATAAAATTCAATTATTTAAATTTTTTGCAAGATCTTTTTGAAAGCTAACTTAAAGTCTTATTGCCAATTGGCTCTTACTGCATTTCAATATTGAAAATGTCTATTGCCCAACATTTTTATATGAGAAATCTTTAAAATTAAATCTAAATTTTATGCAAAACAGTTCAGATTGATAGAATTTTAAAGGATTTCATTGTGACTATTAGAACCTAGAATTGGAACAAGACCCAGGATTCCAACGAGAAGTGATGCAGAACTGCATTTCAAAGGCTTTTTTAATATTTTGCTGACATCTGCATCACTGATTGATTTTATTTATGTAAATATGGACTAATTGAATTATCATACAAAATTGCGTTGAATCCATCTCTCTCCATCAAGATGTGTAAGCAATTTGCTGAGTTTTGCTATCACTTTTAAGCATAGATGACTCAAAATCTCATATTAACTTTATTTTCTCTCAATTTATTATTTTGCCCAGGTTTTGATACAATGAGCTATTCAGTATATCAGGATTGTGAAGATGCAGTTTTTCACTTGTTTATAGGCTTGAATTGACTAGATCACTGCTAATGTTCACATCATTGGACAAATAATCTTCTATTGTATCTCTTATTTGAGACATTCATTTTTTTCACTGACATAACTACACATCTCAAAATACATCCCTGCAAAGTACCGGCTTTGTGAAAGGAAATTTATTAAAAGGTAATTACTTTGAGAACCATATAGGGTGAATATCTTTATAATACAATTTCTATCCATTTTAATGCATCTAATCATGATATGTAACTAAGCAATGTCAAACATTAATCTAAATTAAGTGAAGGCTGATTCAATAGGAAAAAGAATATCACAGTCAAGGGTAAGGATTATTTAAAGTACTTTTTAGTGTTATGCAATATTATACTATTTAAATAAGTTCAAATTTGGCCCAGCCCCTGACAGACATGACAGAAGTGGGTAGGGCTTTTAAATCTATTTTCTTGCTTAAGCCTCTCAACAATCTGTAAGTTGGGTAAGAAATTAATATTTATCTACATTTCTTAATCAACAACTTTTGGGTCCAGGAATCTTCTCAAACTCATATTTAACAAATACAAACAGAGGATATCCATTTAATTTTGAATTTCAGATAAACAATGAATAATTATTTAGTGTGAGAATGTTCCATGCAATATTTGGAACCTTGTTATACTAAAACAAACAAGCAAAAATATCCAATATTTATCTAAAATTGAAATTTATCTGGAAGCCTGTGTTTTATCTGGCATGTCTATTCATATTGGAGTTTCAAGACTCAAAAGCATTACACTTTTTATTTGAAGCCCAGCAAGAGTAGAGGGCATCCATACCCCAAGTTGTATGAGGCCTGCAGAATCATTCGATCTGGCCCTGCCAAGGCAACCACAGATGGGATTCAAAATTCAGTAAATCAATAGCAGGCTAATTTTTAAGTTGATAGCTTTCTATGGCACATCAATGATGTTACAATTATACAAATGGCCCTTGGCAGGAAAAAGGTTCCCCATCCCTGCTTTATTCCATGCCTTACACTGGGTTAAAATGGTGACCTTTAGCCATGGCAACTCCAAGGCACAAGGTACAACAAATCAATATCTATAATTTATATATTAGCAAAGCAGAAATCATTGGTAGAGTTATCTAAGCAATACTATCTTTGCCAATGCAGAATTTATAACTAAGTTCAGACTGTCTTGCAATGCAGTATCTCCAATTTAGGATCAGGTTTCACTTGTTCATCTATAGGAATCTAGCATGTAGATGCTCTCTACAACTGATGGTCATCAACAAGTACAACTGATTGAATTATTATGGAGTTTGGTTAAAAAATATTTATATCTGGGATCGGCATTGTGGCACAGGAGTGCCAGGTAGAGTCACAGCTGCTCCACTTTCAATGCAGATCCTGCTAATGCACCTGGGAAAGCAGAGGAGCATAGCTGTCACCCATGTGGGAGATCAAGATGGGGTTTCAGGCTCCTGAATTTGGCCTGGTACAGCTCTGGTTGGTGCAGTCATTTGGGGAGTGAACCAGTTGGTGGAAGATATTTCTTTCTGTCTCTCGGTGTCTCTCTCTATCATTCTGCCTTTCAATAAATAAAAATAACATCTTTAAAATATTGAAATCTATGGAAGAAAACATAGCTGCCTAGAACCCAACATAATTTCTTGTACTGATGCATTTATTATTATTATTTATTAAAACATATCACTTGTTTGGTATTTTAGGGTACAATGTTTTCACATGGAATAAAATTTTACAACCTAAATTATATGACAAAAGACTTCTCTTATTTTGGCATGTTATATTAATCAAATTTTGCCACCATGTTTCATTTATGAAAAAAAAGAGTTGATTTTCATTAAAATATTCAAAAGTTTGCTCGAGGGGCTGGCAATATGGCACAGCAGGTTAATGCCCTGGCCTGAAGCACCAACCTCCCATATGGGCGCCTGTTCGAGTCCTAGCTGCTCCACTTCCAATCTAGCTCCCTGCTATGGCCTGAGAAAGCAGTGCAAGATGGCCCAAATCCTTGGACCCTTGCACCCGCGTGGAAGACCCGGAAGAAGCTCCTGTCTCCTAGCTTCGGATCAGCACAGCTCCAGCTGTTGCGGCCAATTGGGGAGTGAACCATCAAATGGAAGACCTCTCTCTCTCTCTTTCTCTCTGCCTCTCCTCTCTCTGTAGCTCTTTCAAATAAATAGATATATTTTTAAAAAACAAAATGAAACAAAAGTTTGCTCGAAGCATGCATTATTTTGATTATGTAGTAAAGTCTTCCTTTCATTTTAATGATTAATTTATTTGAAAGGTAGAGTTATAGAGAGAGAGGGAAAGACAGAAAGAGAGAGAGAGAGAGAGAACGAGCTTCCATCTACTGGTTCACTTCCCAAACGGCCACAGCAGCCAGGTGTGGGCCAGGCCAAAATCAGGAGGCTGGAATGCCATCTGAGACTCCCACATGGAAGGCAGGGTCCCAAGTACTTGAACCTTCTTTAGCTACCTTCCCTGGTGCATTAGTAAGGAGCTGTATCTGAAGTAGAACAACCAAGACTTGAATTGACACTCATATGGAATGCCAGCATCACATGTGGAGGCTTAACCAGCTGCACCACAATGCTAGACCCTCTTAACCATCAACAAAAGTTTCCGCTATTTACGATTGTCACTTACTTTAAAATCAAGATGCAAGGGGGCATGTACTATGGGTTAAGGCACCATTTTGGACACACCCATCACATATTGGACACCTGCATCCTACATTGGAATGTCTATTCAATTCCTGGCCACTCAGTTTCCAGCCCAACTCCTTACTAATGCACCTGGGGAGCAGCAGATGATGGTTCAATTATTTAAGTTCCTGCCACCCACATGAGGGAAACTAACATGGAGTTCCTGGCTCCTGGGTTATCCTGGCCCAGCCCCAGCTGTTGTGGCCATTTGGGGAGTGAACCAGCAGATACAAGACAGCTCTCTCTCTCTCTATCTTTCTCTCTTTCTCTGATAAATAAATAAATCATTTAAAAAAATGTAAACCATTGAATCCTTAATCCTTAAATTGATGAGAAGCATTAGCATTGGAAACCAGTGACTGAGTGATTGAGGTTATGGACCAGGACTCAGATTACTTACCAAGTCTATATCCCTTTGAATTCTTATTGTGTGCCTTTGGCAAGTTTAGATTCTCTGAGCCTTAGATGTTCCATATATAAAAAAGACATAAAGACAATACTTAGTACTCTTTATATCTTACAATTCTTGCAATAACCCTAAAGGCAATGTTCCTGGTATACAGTGAGCACCATGATTATGATTACTACTGCTTATGCCTTGAGAAAATTGATTCTTTTTCTGGAACTCTTCTTTTAAATTACTTCATGAAGACATTATTTATCTATTTATGTTTTTCCTTTATTGGAATATTTTCCTCCTGTTTTCATTCCTTCCTTGATTACTTTCCCCTTTCAGGCTTCAATCTCTCTGAATATTATCCTTGTTGCCATTGATAAAGCCAGATGAATATACTGAATGGCATTTTGCATTTAGTATCAAGAAAACAAATGAACAATAATGTTATGGTCTAAGTCTGCTACTGATTATCTCTGGCCCTGAGACATTTATCTAAGTCTTCATTCCCATTTTGCAGACTAGGAAACTAAATGAGTTATCTTGAAGAGCTAATGTTAGGAATGAAAATAAAGCACCCTGGATATGATCAGTGTTTAGTAAATAGTGACTATAAAGAGAAAAGAGGTCTGCTTTAAGAAGCATGCTTGAGAACACAGCTCTTCTAGTTTTTCTTAATTCCTTCTAGCAATAGTAGTAACCCATTCATAATCTTTGTCAGGTACGTATTAAGTAAATAAATATATGCCAAGTTCCAAACATATAAAAGGAGCTCACAAATGCCAGTTCTACCACCATACCTTCGTTGCAACCTGATACTTTCTAATCTATATTGAGCACAGTCTGCAAGATATGACTTCCTCTTCCAGTGGTACACGTGTCTAAAAATTGGGGGAAATGGTTCACATTTGGAGCATGCCAGCAGCAGATTGTGTGTTCAGAAAGTGGAGGAAAACTACAGAATATGTGTACAGCAGAATCCTAAGGTGTGGCGGTGACAACAATCACTCCTGCAGTGGCTTTCAGAGAGGAAAGTGCTTGTCAAGATCAAAATGCTAATCAGAGCTTGCTGGGAAAGTTAGTTGTTCCCAGCTGCAGCCTAAGCAGCAGGTTGCTTGAAACAGCTGTACCGTATATTAGCACCTACTCTTAACTTGATTGTCTGTACCAGCATGATCAGAAAGTGGTCGGAAATAAAACTAAGGAAGTAAATGTTGCATAAACATAGGAATTACATCAATTAGCTCTAGAGCGCCCTAAATTCCCAGAAGGCATTCAACTATAATAGAATGAGTGATGAAGGGGCCAGGCCACTCAGAATTCATATCTCAATAATAATTGTGCATTTGTGAGACTCAGACTCCCCTACAAAATGAGAATCTTGGCAACTATAATAAAGATTTATATGGATAAAATAAAGATACATGTATCTTAGCGATCTATTGCTACATAACAATTATACCAACATTAGCAGCTTAGTACTATAAATAGTTATGATTTCACATAGCTTTTGAGGGTCACACCTCCAGCAGTGGCTTAGCTGTGTACTGGTTTAGGATCTTTCAGGAGATTCAAATTAAGCCATTGATGAGAGATGAAGTCATCTGAAGACTTGATCAGGCGAATGTTTCTGCTTCTAAACTCTATCACATGACTGTCATCAAGAGACCTTTTCTTTGATAACTGTTGCAAGGAGATCCCATTTCCTCATCATGTGGATGTCTCCACTGAGATATTCCCAGCAGAGCAACTGTATTCTCTCAGAGAGAGAACAAAAAACACAGTGAGAGTGAGGGCTTGTATAGAATGCCCTTGACAGAAACAATGGTCTTCATATGACCCAATCTCAAAAATGACATCTTACCACGATTATCATATACTAATCCTTAGAGATGTCACTAAACCCAGTCCCCATTTAAGGGGAGGAGCTATATAAGAGTGTGGATAGCCTGTGGAGGGAAATTATTGGTCCGTTTTAGAGGCTGCTTGCCATGGTACATTGCAGCTACTATGTGAGATATTCTAAATAAATGTTAGTTTCAACCTAAGACAACTTTTAAAGAGTTTTCTACACTTTGTTTTAAAATATAAAATGATACCTTTTAAAGAATTGTTGGGTTTAGAGTATTTTCATGTGAAGTTTAAGATTAATGTTTAAGATTAATGTGGATGACACATTAATAATAGTTCTGTTCCTTAAATCTTAATGTTTCTTGATTCTGAAATATTCTGATGCAGGCTTTTGAATTTGCAGTGATTCATCCTATTGCATAAATGAGCCCACCTATTCTCAAAGAACCAATGAAGAAATAAATACTTTTTAAAAGATTTATTTATTTGAAAGGCAGAGCTACAGAGAGGCAGAGGCAGAAAGAGAGAGAGAGAGAGGTCTTCCATCCACTGGTTCACTCCACAAATGGCCACAATGACCAGAGCTGAGCCAAGCCAAAGCCAAGAGCCAGGAGTTTCTTCCAGTTCTCCCATGTAGGTGCAGAGGCCCAAGGACTTGGGCCATCGTCTACTGCTTTCTCAGGCCATAGCAGAGAGCTGGATGGGAAGTGAAGCAGCCAGGACTCGAACCAGAGCCCATATGGGATGCCAGCACTACAGGAAGCGCCTTTACTTGCTATGCCACAGCACGGGCCCCAAGAAATAAATATTTTATCTTAAATTATTTAAAAAGAGACATCAAGGTTATCATAATTTACAAGTTGAAGTTTATAAAGAATGACGAATATTCAAATAATAATCCTTTAGTCATTTATTTCTTATTTTTAGTCAAATTTCCTAAATTCACCTCCCTATCTCACAACATAATTTTTTTGCACATGTACATTACTTTTGCTAGAGTGTTAAATCTTCTTTTTGTCCCTAGTAAACTTCTAGTCTTTCTTACAAAGACTAGGACTGCATCTCCAACCTGAGAGAGTAAACTCCTTCATTGCTAACTCCATACATTGTGATCATTATATTACTGTTCTAATCTTACTTAACAGCAAGTTGCCATGTAGTGACAATCTCTCATACCAAAAAATGATCATTTTAGATCAATAACGTACTTAACATGACTTAAAGATTTGCATTTAGTAGACTCATGCACTAATTATGTGTGTCAGGTTGAACTACAGGAAAAGTATTGCCTCTGAAAGAAGAATTAGCTAAATACTTGTAATTACATATGGATCAACATAGTAGTTGATAAGTCATCCTTCACCCTTTCATAGTACACTGGAGATGTTTAATATGGGAGGAGAGAGGAGCATCCTTTGAGAAAGAGCTGGAAGGTATCTGTGAAATCTCATGTATCATCCACTGGAAGAAAAAATGACCAATTTTAAATAAAATTAAAAAGAAATTTACTAAGATTGATAGGCAAAGATTATGTCTAAGTGTATTTTAGTAAGATTAATATGATAAAGAAATATTTATAAATAACAGTTTTAATTTTATATTACAGATCTCAAAGAAAATTAATGGACTACCCAAAGATATGACATGTATGTATATACAGATTTGTGTCTGTGTATGAGTGTGTGAGTTTTTGTGTGACTTTTTGGCCCACAAGAAATTGGGTAACTATATATAAGTCACATTAAGAAGATAAGCTACAATTTTATAACAAACACTAATTATTGAGAGGAAGCATAATTTTTAAGTTTGAAACACTTAATGGTAACGAGATTATTTCTTTTTAGATGTTGACTTGGTTGAAAACATCATTCCAATAGAGAAAAGGAAGAAGAAAACCAAAGTTACCCCAATGGATACCCACTGCAATGGTTTCCAAGGACATCATGGTAATTATATGACATACTTCCTTAGAATTCTTATTTTCAGGACTTTAAGATAAGTTACTCGTATGATTTCCGAATTGAAAAACTGCACAAATGATTGTGATGCACTTCAGTGTTTGTTAATGACTTATATACAGAGGATAGATCAATACCAATATTATCAATACCTACATCTATGGATATGTTCTAGAAATCTACATGTATGTTTATAAATATATACTTACATATAATTCAATATTTGCTCTTGTATTGTTTCCACTCAGAAATTAGGAGACATACTGTCTAGTGAAAATAGCCCAGTCCTTGTCTCATGGAAAATAGCCCAGTCCTATCATAGGGATGGGCAATTTATTTTGTGATGAAGGTGATCTTAGAACCTCTCCTTTTTATTCCATCAAGCCATTTGGCAGCCCATCAACCCATGAACTGCCTAATGCATACTATCTCCTCCCTGTTTTCCTTCCTGGGGAGACACCCATGTTAATTAAGGTCTTCTCAAAGACCTCAGCTGTACCTACACTGTGGGAATGCCCACACTTGGCCAGGTACTCAAATCATTTGTCTTTGCTTAAACCTCCAGGGGAAATGTCATACAGTGTTTCATTCTCCTGATGTCTGAGACTTTTCCAAATGTGTGACACAGATTCAATATTTCTGAAAATGAGGCTTGTGTTTTGTCCTTAGTTTGCAGTGAATTTGAACAGCTCAGTTTGTTTTTCAAGAGGTGACTTTCAGTTCCTTCAGGCTCAAGAATCCCTTTGAAGCTGATGGATCATGCTGTTGTTTATTCAATAAACATTGAGCTCACAATATGCTTATGGAATGGCACTAGAAGCTGTGGGCAATAAAAAAAAAAACAATGAGTAAGATGTGCTCCATGACCTTAAGAAGTTTATAAGCTCCTGTGGGTAAAATAGTTTTTTTTATTGGTACTGTAGGCTTAATAACATATTAACCCAGTATATAGTAGGCATTCAATAAATGTTGAATAAGTTAATGAAATACTAGAACAAAACTGTCATCTTTTTTTACAGAATGCTAGAAGAAAGTTTATTTTAATTTGAACATTGGAAACAGAAAATATTTCTCTTCTACTTCTCTAAATGTTGAAACCTGACCTACCTTCAAGACTCAACTTAACCATAAATGTAGCAATGAAAAATCCAAGCTGAAGGCTTGGTGTGCATAGGAAAGTGGAAAAGTCTATCATATAATTAAGAAATGATTAGCTGATTGTGGAATTATGGGTGTAGGGAGATGTCAGGCTGAGTTAGACCAAATATAGAATCATAAGACAAAGACAGGGCTGGCATTGTGGAGTAGTTGGTAAAGCCACCACCTGAGACACCTGCACGTGTATGGGAGCTGGTTTATGTCCCAGCTGCTCCACTTCTGATCCAGCTCCCTGTTAATGGCTGAAAACAAAAAAAGCAGCTGAAGATAGCCCAAGTGTTTGGGCCCCTGCCACCCATGTGTGAGACCCAGATGAAACTCTTGACTTTGGCCTGGTCCAGTCCTGGTTGTGGTGGCCATTGGGAGAGTGAACGAGCAAATCCAGCACATGGAAGACCTCTCTCTCTCTCTCTCTCTCTCCCTCTCTCCCTCTCTCCCTCTCTCCCTCTCTCCCTCTCTTCCTCTCTCACTCTCCCTCTTCCTATATCTCTCTCCCCTTCTATTTCTCTGTAACTCTGATTTTCAGATAAATAAATGAATAAGCCTTAAAAACAAAGGTAAAGACAGATTGAAAAAACAGTTTTTGATAAACAATACATCTTTTAAGTAAAAAAAAAAATTCATCGTAAACAAAAGTGTCTTATTTCCTTTTGATGACAGTATAGCACCAGGAAGAAAGGCTGTAGAAATTAAAAGAAATCAAAGAAATTCAGTCTCTGAACTCTTCTATATAGATTGATATGTAGGCTATCTTGGAGAAATTAGTTGTTAAGGTCATTTTCTACTTTTCTTATTTTTCTTGGTGGCATGTTTTAGTAGCCAGGTGATTATTTCTTTACTTTTTTATACTTTATTTAAAATAATAAGCTTTTCTGCATTTGAAGTCTATCTTGTATAAACTTTTAATTTTCAGCTGAAATGTTTGATAAATAAAATTTAAGAAAGCTCAAAACTAATTTTCAAGAGCCATGAATCCGGTTGAAGATCTACCACCTAATATTCATATGACTTTTGGCAGTCATTCCTGTTATCTGAGGTAAACTCCTGAGTGGAAATCAGTTTACTGGCACTGTGAGTCTATTCTAGATATGATCCTGTTCACCTATGATGCTTTGATGCATTTTCAAAAAGACACTCAATCATTGGTTTCTTAATTTCTTTTCCGGTATATGGATTTCAGCATTGCTCTTAGCTTCTGTCTCTGAGTTTTACTTATTTCACAGTGTGAGCCATGGTCTTGGGGATCTTTTTTTTTTCTTTTTTAAAGATTTTTTTTATTTATTTGAGAGTCAGAGTTACACTCAGAGAGGGAAAGACAGAGACAGAAAGAGAGAGAGAGAGATCTTCCATCTGCTGGTTTAGAGAGATCTTCCATCTGCTGGTTTACTCCCCAAATGGGCACAGCAAAGCCAGAAGCCAGAAGCTTCATCTGGGTACCCCACATGGGTGTCAGGGGCCCAAGTACTTGGGCCAGCTTCGGTTGCTTTTCCTAGGTCATAAACAATGAACTAGATTGGAAATAGAGCAGCCAGGATATGAACAGGGGCCCATATGTATCTGCTAAGCCGCAATGCCATCCCGGTCTTAAGTATCTTATATAACTATGTTTCCCTAAGAAAGAATGGGCACAATTTATTTTTGTGCCAAACTAGTTAGACTAATCCATCTTTAGCTTCCCCCAGATGAGGCCACTTGCATCCTACTTCTGGTTAGAATTGGATAACCAAGGAATTTATCATTCCCTTTTAAAATACACTCTCCTTAGGAGAGAATGCCTTAGTATTTAAATCAAAAACAATTCTGTGCATTCTTAAAATCAGCATAAAATTAAAACTGAGCATTTTACAACTTGGATGAATGAGTCGTTCTATAAATTTGATTGATGTATCCTTAATATGTGTTATCTTTAGAAAGACTTCCTGGAGCCTCCTGCCTGCCTCATGTATAGAGTAAAATTATGTGTATCTTGGAGCCTATGTAATGGATTTGGTTTACCTATACGTACGTATATAGATAATATGTATGATATGTCCAATGGCACAGATAGTTGAAATTACTTACCTAACTCAGATCTAGGGATAAGAGTACTTGAGTGTAATCATGTAAGATTAGACATTTACAAGGAAAGAGTTCTTTGGAAAATTTAGTCCAATTTCCTAGCTCATGTTGTTTTATCTACAGAGTTATCTACTTGAGATTTGATTTGAACACAAAACTCAATGTAATTTTGTGAATATTCTAAAATCAACATAGCTGGGCCTGAACTATCAAACCTGGGTCACACATGAGTCAAGTATACAAAAGCAGAAATCATGAAGATATAATTTAGGTATGAGACAGATAAGGTAGAAGTTACAATTGGGTAATTCATGGAAAGGAAATGTTAACAGGCTTACTCCTCACATTTATTCAAATTCTGTGTCCATAAAAATTGCCATATTTCATGTTTTACAAAATTTTCAATCGCTCCTTTGGCAAGAAAGCCCAGAGAAATCGTACACTGCCATTTATTAAACCTATAAAAGGTGATATATGTTGCCTAAGCATTTTCCTTATCTAGAAAATAAAACTCTTCCTTATTCTTCATAAGGAAATTATGAAGATTAAATGAGCAAATTCATCCGAAATTTTCAGTGGCTCCAGGAGATAAAATAATGTGTCCGGTTCTGTCATTTAAAATTACTTATCCAGTGTCTATCTGTGTCAGACATTTTACTAGGTGCTAAGGGATCAACATAGAACAAAAGGTACAAAATCTTGTTTTCATGGAGATTAAATAACAGTGGATAAAAGGAACAATATATGATAAGAATTATGAGCAATCAAAATTAACAGGTAATACACAGGACACAAAAAAAGTGTTAAGATGATAGAACATAATCAAATGGCTATGAAAGGTCTTTCAGGATAAATTAAACTTAATTTGAGATTTGATTGAATGAAGGAGTTAAGACATTTCATGAATAAAGGAAAAAGTAGTTTTAGTGATGGGAATGTCTGGACAAAATCACTAAGGGGAAGTTCTTTTTGGAGCATTCAAAGAGCACAAGGAAGTCATTGTGGTTTGAAAGTAGTAAGATGGAAGAAGGGATGAGGGTGAAACATGGAGGCTATGAGATAGAAAGAACCATCCTGTGTAACTGTTGGCGTGGATTTTACTCCAATATAAAGAGAAATTTGAAAGAAGGTATTAAGTTCTGATTTAAGTTTTTAAATATTTTCAATGACTCCTGATAAGGAAGAAAATAGAGGGAATCAGAATGGTAAGGGAGGCTGCTACTTGAACACAAGTGGGCAAGGAGGGGAGATGGAACTGGAATACCAACCAGGAGAATGAAAGTGATCGTTGTGGGACAGCACTATGCAGCAGAACTTTCTGTGATGGTGGAACTATTCTGAATCTGAGCACTGGAAATGTGACCAGCACGATTGTATAACTTCCTTTTGAATTTTTTTGACTTTAATTTAAATTTCAGCAACCACACATGAACAGTGGTTTTCCCATTAGGTCATGCAGCTCAGAAAGTAACCTACTGGAATCAAACTGACATGCCTTCAAATGTCCCCATTCTTAACCACAACTCTGTAGTGCATCCCATGAAAGATGCAAAAGAATAATTCTTAAGCTGCTCCATGTATGACTCCTCCCAGGATTCCTGTTCCATGTTAGACACAGAGGGGTGAGCTATCAGCAACACTGCTGGTGACTCTGGGAAGCCAGTGATGCCTTCCAATCCCAGCTTCATGATATTATGTAGTACAAGGAGAGAAGGAGAAAAGCATTTACTTTCTAGGAACACTTGGCTGTTGTGGTATTGTGTTTAGTACCAAAGACCTGCTTTAAATTGTGAAGAGGTTGCATTTAAATCTGTCTCCTTCCAGTTGATTATTAATTTATGGCATCATTATAAGTGACAACAAATAGCTTCTCTGGATGGCAGAAATGCAATTAGATTGTCACAGACTGTCAGCTGGTATATTTGGGTGTGATGTTAATGTACACTTTATCTAAGCCTCTAATGCTAATAATAATAATAATAGAAATAGAAGTTGCTGTTTTCTTTTAAGGAAGGAGGAATGATTTGGGTTTTCTCTTATATTCAGAGTGAGAGTTACAGCAAGGAAGCTGCAGTAAATAGTGCAGTCCTTAGGATTCTTGTTGCTTAGTGTTTGAATTTACTAATTCAATATAGGTCCTGAGTGAAAAATATCAATGAATAGCAAAATAAATTCCCTTGAAAAAGAAAACTTGAGGTGGGTCTTGGGCTTAGTGGTTGAGATGCTAAGTGTTAGGATATCCACATCCCACTTCATAAGCCTGGGTTTGATCCCCGGCTCTGGATCCTGATTCTAGCTTTCTGATAAAAGAGACCCTTAGAGGCAGCAGTCACGGATCAGGAGACTGGGTTTCTGCAGCTGATGTAGGAGACTCAGATTGAGTTTCTGGTTTCTAGCTTCCACTCAGCCAGGCCTTTGCTACTGTAGATACTTTAAGAGTAACATGGCAGATGAGAGCGCTCTCTCTCTCTCTCTCTCTCTCTCTCTCTCTCCTCTTTCTCTCATTTTCTCTCTCTCTCAAATTAATGAAAATAAAAGTTAATTTATTTAAAATAATACAACTCCACAACAGATATATTAAAGCATGCCCTTTATCTCACTGGTTGGTACATACTCATCCCAACATTTCTCTCAAAGCATGTTTGTTCTAGCCTCCTCTTCATGATTAATTACAGGCAAACACACCTGATGGCTGAGGGTAAGTTCTTCAGAACTCTGGAAACAGAACATTAATACTGAAGACCTCCAAATGTCTATGCAGTACAAATCTCTTCTCTGTACAAATAAAAATACTGAATGTGGTAGGGATCCATGCAACTGCCCTTTGACTTCACGTCATACCACCTAATAATCCCTTCTGTGATGATCAGAAGCTATCTTCATAATCTTTGGAAACAGTAAATACTCAAGTGCATGATGTAGGTGAATATTGTGGTTACTGATCAGTGTGAGGAATGCTTTTTTGTGGTTGCTGTTGAAAAAGGTACTATGACTATAAACATACGAAACAATCTCATAAACTGAAATAACAAAATCTCTTCCAGTGTTCTCTGAGATCCAACACTGCCATTGGGCTAGGTGTACATTATTTTGAGGAAACCACTACAAAGATAGAATAAACATTATAAACTTGGCTATTTGAAGACTAATCACAATAAAAGAACAGAAACATCCTGGGGATACTTGGGAACAATTAGCAATATCTGAGAGTTATTCTTCTGAAGAGACAGACACTGAAGGAAGCACAAGTCCATTCAGTTATTCCAGTCCCAGAAATGTTCCAGAAACTTCTGGCTTCTGAGTCCAGGAGAAGAACTTTGATGATATTATATGGCAATCAATAGTATTCAGTTATTGATTCCTTTTGCAGAGTCTTTGGCATAATTTTTGATACTGAGGGGAAAGGAGGATGACAAATACATCAGTTACTTAATTTCAGTACACTTGGAGCCAAAACTCTCCTTCAGGAAAAAATAGGAACTTGATGGTTCCAACATCACTCTCTAGGCTTGGCCTACTTTCATATAGTGTTTTCTGTGGACACCTGCTGAGTAACTGTGGTGTGTCAGGTCCTGATCCAGAGCTTAGTATGTCAGGAGAATGTAAGAGAGTCGTAGTCTCTGCCCATAGGTACCTTTTATGGGAAACATTGCTTTAAAGGGCAGATTCTATCACATTCCATCACTGTTCTCAGGAAAGTATCAAAATTCATTTATACTAAAAGCCTCTATTGACCATAAATAGTTCACTATTCATTAA